TAATGGCGCAAAGTCACTGCTCCACCATCTCTATACCTATTGCCGATGCGATCGAAAGGAATTGCCACAGCTAATATTGGAGAAGATGAAAGTGACTATACCCTAAAGGCAAAAAAAAAATAAAATAAAATAAGGATTCACTGATGTGCTGACTGTCGCATCTTTCCGCTGGTTAACGCCGCGATCGCAAAACGTGAATCTTTACTGTAAAATCACGAAGGTGTATCGATGAAGCTTTTTATGTTATATCGCGAATAACATGGACGTAGGAAATCATTTTTTTGGGGGGAGGGAGGGAGGGTGAAAATGTATCCCAAACGCGATTTATTAAATTTGAATACAGTAGAACCTCTTTAATTGGATCTCTTTGTTTTAATTATAAAGAAGGTAAAAAACAACAGTTATACAAAATTCGTTGATTTTTTTTACAGTGGTACCTCTTTAATTTTATTTCGCAAATATTTATAGACGAAAAGAATAATTGAACGTTTCGAGGCGATTTGGAAAATTTTTAATTTATTCGGTTGAATTTAAATACAGTAGAACCTGTTTAATTGCAACTATTTGTAATTTTCAATTCAAGACAGCAAAAATATTTTTTATTGACACCTGAATACAGTAGAACCTCTTTATTTGGATTTTTACTTAAATCTGAATACAGTAGAACCTCTTTAATTGGATCCATTCGTGTTGTTCAATTTAAGAAGGTAAAAAGCAGGTTAACAGAATTCGTGGATTTTAATATCGACATTCGAATACAGTGGAACCTCTTTAATTTGATTTAGCGAATATTTATAGACGAAAAGAATAATTGAACATTTCGAGGCGATTTGGAAAATTTTTAATTTAATCAGTTGAATTTAAATACAGTAGAACCTGTTTAATTGCAACTATTTGTAATGTTCAATTCAAGACAGCAAAAATATTTTTTATTGGCAACTAAAAACAGTAGAACCTCTTTAATTGTATCTCTTTCTTTTAATTAAAGAAGGTAAAAAACAACAGTTATACAAAATTCGTGGATTTTTTTACAGTGGTACCTCTTTAATTTGATTTCGCGAATATTTATAGACGAAAAGAATAATTGAACATTTCGAGGCGATTTGGAAAATTTTTAATTTAATCAGTTGAATTTAAATACAGTAGAACCTGTTTAATTGCAACTATTTGTAATTTTCAATTCAAGACAGCAAAAATATTTTTTATTGACAACTGAATACAGTAGAACCTCTTTATTTGGATTTTTACTTAAATCTGAATACAGTAGAACCTCTTTAATTTGATCCATTTGTGTTATTCAATTTCAGAAGGTGGATCCACAGAATTCGCGAATTTTTATATCGACATTCCAATTCAGTGAAACCTCTTTAATTTTATTTAGCGAATATTTATAGATGAGGCGATTTGGAAAATTCATAATTTTTTTTTTTTTTTGGTTGAATTTAAAAACAGTAGAATCTGTTTAATTGCAACTATTTATGATTTTCAACTCAAGACAGCAAAAACATTTTTTATTGCCCAATTAAATAGGTCTTACTGTAATCCTATACCATTTTTTAAACCTTGACAATTTCTAAAATTTATCTAAATTATTATAAAAAAAATATTAAAAAAATTTTTTTAATCATTAGAATGTATACCAATTATTATGAAATTAAATAAATAATAACAGTTAATTAACTCTAAACAAAGAATTACAGAAATAAGTGCGTACAATTATATTCTAAAAATTAGTAGATTTATAACAATTTTCTCAAAAAATTAAAAATTATTCCCATTCTAATGGCAATATAATTAATATATCCTTGTCTGTAGGAACTCAAAGGACTGATAATAATTCTTCTTTTACTTCATTATATCATTACAATAAACTTTTTTTTTCTCTCCTAAACTCATCTTCATTATTTATTCCACTATATTGAGTAATTCACCATTGAATACAAAATGATTATTGTGTCACATATATATATATGTGTGTAATTTAAAGACGATACATACATGAGGGAAATTGATGAATTATAGAAAAGAAAGGTTTTATATATATATATATTATTATATTTGCAAAACGTCAATGTGTTGTTAAAGTCGCGCGAGATCGTAAGGAAAACGGCGATTCATCAATGAAACGTAACGTGTAATTATGCACCGTTAGATTGTAACGAGACTGTAATTGTCCAGGAATTAAACAGCAGGTATCGCTCAACGGAAAATCGATTATGTATACAAACAAAGATTCTTCTTTTTCTTTTTTTTTTTTTCTTTTCCCTCGAAACAGTTGATGCATTTCCGGTGATTCGGGTTATATCTTGGACACGAAATAGCCTCTCCCACGCCTCAATAGAAGGAATCTTTGACTATTTTCACGCATTGGCGTAGAAATCAAGGATGAGGGGGAAAAAAGGGTTTATTTTCCTCTGATAATCTTTAGTTTTATTGTTTTTTTTTCATAAATGCAAAAATTATATTAAAGAGGTTTCATTGTATTTAAATGTTGACAAAAAATTTAAGTTTCTACGAATTATAATGAACTAGTTTACTTTCCTCTGAAAATTTTCAGTTTTATTCTTATTTTTTATAATTTCAAACATTATATTAAAGAGGTTTAACTGTATTCGAATGTTGATAAATTTTTTTTTACGAATCATATTAAACTGTAATGTATTTTGTTTTTGAATTATAAAACACGAACAGAAAGAGGATCTACTGTATTCAGATTATTAAAGAGGTTCCACTGTATTCGAATATCGATATAAAAAAAAACGACGAATTCTGTTAAACTGTTTTTTTTTACCTTCTTAAATTGAATAACACAAATGGATCCAATTAAAGAGGTTCTACTGTATTCAGATTTAAGTAAAAATCCAAATAAACAGGTTCTACTGTTTTTAGTTGTCAATAAAAAATATTTATGCTGTCTTGAATTGAAAAATTACAAAAAAAATTACAATTAAACAGGTTCTATTGTATTCAGATTCAACTGTAAAAATTGGTTATTTCATATCGCCTCAAAATGTTTAATTTTGTTCTTCTCTTTCATAAATAATTGCGAAATGAAATTAAAGAGGTTTCACTGTATTCGAATATCGATATAAAAAAACGACGAATTCTGTTAAACTGTTTTTTTTTACCTTCTTAAATTGAATAACACAAATGGATCCAATTAAAGAGGTTCTACTGTATTCAGATTTAAGTAAAAATCCAAATAAACAGGTTCTACTGTTTTTAGTTGTCAATAAAAAATATTTATGCTGTCTTGAATTGAAAAATTACAAAAAAAATTACAATTAAACAGGTTCTATTGTATTCAGATTCAACTGTAAAAATTGGTTATTTCATATCGCCTCAAAATGTTTAATTTTGTTCTTCTCTTTCATAAATAATTGCGAAATGAAATTAAAGAGGTTTCACTGTATTCGAATATCGATATAAAAAAACGACGAATTCTGTTAAACTGTTTTTTTTTACCTTCTTAAATTGAATAACACAAATGGATCCAATTAAAGAGGTTCTACTGTATTCAGATTTAAGTAAAAATCCAAATAAACAGGTTCTACTGTTTTTAGTTGTCAATAAAAAATATTTATGCTGTCTTGAATTGAAAAATTACAAAAAAAATTACAATTAAACAGGTTCTATTGTATTCAGATTCAACTGTAAAAATTGGTTATTTCATATCGCCTCAAAATGTTTAATTTTGTTCTTCTCTTTCATAAATAATTGCGAAATGAAATTAAAGAGGTTTCACTGTATTCGAATATCGATATAAAAAAACGACGAATTCTGTTAAACTGTTTTTTTTACCTTCTTAAATTGAATAACACAAATGGATCCAATTAAAGAGGTTCTACTGTATTCAGATTTAAGTAAAAATCCAAATAAACAGGTTCTAATGCTTTTAGTTGTCAATAAAAAATATTTATGCTGTCTTGAATTGAAAAATTACAAAAAAAATTACAATTAAACAGGTTCTATTGTATTCAGATTCAACTGTAAAAATTGGGTGTTTCATATCGCCTCAAAATGTTTAATTTTGTTCTTCTCTTTCATTAATAATTGCGAAATCAAATTAAAGAGGTTTCACTGTATTCGAATGTTGAAAAAACACAAATAGATCCAATTAAAGAGGTTCTACTGCAATTTTATTCTTCTCTTTATTCATAAATAATTTTGAATGTAAATACACAAATAGGCGCAATTAAAGATGTTCTACTGTATTTACTTTTAACTAATTATTCAAGTAAAATCATAATAGAAAGGTTCGACTGCATTAGATTACCAATAAAAAATAAAATTTCATTGAATGTATAAACACAATCAGGTGCAATTAAAAAGTTTCTACTGTATTCAATTTTAACTAAATATTCCAATTTAGTTAACAGTTTTATTAATATTTGTTCTATTGATTGTTTCTACACTGAAAAAAAGTATCATTGATTATTTGTATCAAATAAATAAAATTTTTTTGCTTCAAGTAAATATTTATTTGATAATAGTAAAGTAATCGTTTATTTGAAACAAATAATTTTTTTGTTTTCAGTGTATTAAAGAAGTTCCACTGTATTCATTACTTTAAAATAAATAAAAAAATGCCTGCCTTTTAGATCCTCATTGCATTGAAGTATATAGTTTTAAGTAATTAATTTTGAAGAATATTTGGTAGAAAGATACGAAACGAGAGAAGAAAAACGAAGTGCGGTATTCGTGAAACAACGGGGGGATGAATTTTGCCATTTCATGAAGATGGAAAGACATAAGACAGACAGACAGACAGACAGACATATAGTATAAGGAAGCTAAGACGCTCAAAAGTCGTGGCAAATAGAAGTAAAATGAGGTATTTGAAAATGGAGGGAGAGAACGAATTGTTAGGGCGAAGGATGAATTCCCTGAATGAGAGTGAGAAAGAGGGATTGAAAAGTAGGGGGAGTTGGGTGATGGGTGTCCGCGAGTTCAGCGCACGGCATGAGGTTTGTACGCCGGTACATCGAATCGTCAGTGAGTGTCGCGACTCCTTCGCGCCCGTGTCCTGAGTCCTTGTTTTCTGTGTGAGCCTTCAATAATTTTTTTCCCGCCGTGTGCGCTTTTTTGCACGTTCAAATCGTGTATGTAAACGAAATAATAAACACGTGCGTGTTAACACAAAAATATTTCATTTTAAAAATTAGTTTTTCAATTAAGTTTTTTTTTCTTCTTTTTCTTTTTTTTTCTTAAATTGCACATCCTCGTGCATGTCACCAACGTAAATTTCATCATTCCGGAAGTGCCTGAAAGGCGCCTCGACTTTCCGTGGTACGTACCCTTCAAGTGTTTTTTTGTTTTTTTTTTTTTATGTTTTATTGCTACTTTTCACTGAAAAGTGCAGAGTGTATGTGTGTTAAGAACGCAAGCTTCTGGCAGATTGCAGCTTTCATCCAATGGAATAAAAAAAAAAAAAAACCGTACTTCCTCAAAAATAAAAAATATATCCAAAAAAGAAAAATTAACAATTGGCAAATTTTCTTTCCGTTGAGATAGAAAAAAAAACAGAATGAAAAATAATTAAAAATTATTTTCATAAATAAGAAATTAAAAATTAAATTGCCACTGAAAATTATTTGGACCAATAATTTCTGGATTTAAAACAAATAAAATTTGATTCAAATAGAAATTATTTGGTTCAAGGAAATATTTATTTGATAATAGTAAACAATTATTTGAATTAAATAAATTATTTTTTCAGTGTGCGTTTTAAATATTTTTGTAATATTTCTTATTTTTTAAAATAATTTTTATTTTTCATTCTGTTGATAAAAATTGGAAATGTTTTTCAAATTCTCGAAAATAATTTTTTCTAAATATACAAAATTACTGTTTTTTTTTTTTTTTTTTTAAATATAAACTTTTAACAGAATGAGAAAGTCAATATTAAATCGTTAAAAAAATGTTGTTAACTTTCGAATATTAAAAATAAATTTCTAATTAAAGGATACTTGCTTGAGTTTGGCATAATTTTTCAACCCAGTAATTTCCTATTCTAGGAGTAGTTTGAGAAGTAAAGAAGCTTTGAAAGAATGTCTTAGACATTTATGGAATTTTTAACTAAAATTAAACTTTTCATTAGAATCTTTAATTAGAAAGTTTTTTTTTTTTCTTTTCTTAAACAAATCTGATTCCAAACAATATATAATTATAATAGAAATTTATTAGAAATTAATTAAAAACAATTAAACAATATAATGAAATAATTTCAAATTTAATAATGTAAAAATTTAAATAAAATTTCATGAATCAAAATTTTCAAAGCAGACACATTGTATAAGGGTAGGAGTGCACTTTCTTTAATATCAAGCAAATATTTCACAGTCGATTATACCTCAAGCTAATTTAAATAATTGCATCTAGAATAATACCTAAACTAATTTCATTTCGAAATATATGAATTTTATTTCAATTCACTTTAATTTTTCCTCTTTTTCTTTCCTCTTTTTTTTCTCTCAAAAAAACACGTCAGAAAAGTAATTATAAAATATTTTTCATATCGTATTCACTTTATAGTATGTCGCAAGCAGAGAGACAAGTTTTGATAAATAAAACTTTTTGCAGCGATAAATTTCAATAAACTCTCATATATATATATATAGTAATCTAGAATAAAATTCTTTCATATAAAGCGGAAAACATCTAATTTATTATTTTCAAATTTTGTTTATTTAGCGCAATGAGAAAAAAAGTATGAAAATTTATATAAGCAAAAAATCTTAAATTTTGATAAAAATATATAATTTTATGAAGCATTGTAATATAATATAATTCAAAAACATTTCCTGTTTTTCCTAATTACTCAAATATGTTTCTAACAAGAGAGAGAGAGAGAGAGAGAGTCAGAGCAAATCAGATATGGAAGATTGACTTTTTTTTTGGATCCATTTTAAATACATTAATAAATCCCTGTAAACATTTCTTGTAACAAATTGGTATTAATTTTTATAAAATTATAACGATCAAGATAAATTGTAAATTAAATGATAAATTTTTCTATAAATTTTATTGAGAAAAATGTTTTATATAGAAAAATATAATTTCAGTGTTAAAATTTTTATATATGGATTTAGTTCGCAATGTTTTTTTTGTCAGTGTATGAAACTTTTCGGTTATTCATTCAGTTTCATTCAATCTCAATCTCAGTGTATTGGTTTTCACAATTCTGTATAAAAATACTGAAAAAGTATACATTTTTTTTTCGTGTATATAACCCGTTTTGAATTTCGTCAAATATTTATACCGTGGATGTACCAGTTACCGTCCATGTCTCAGTATCCGTCCATTTTACAAATATCTCGTATAGTAATTTAAATTATTTTTTTAACAATAATTTATTCCTTTTGCCACGCAATTGACTTATTAGTTTAAGTAAACAAATAAAAGAAAATAATTTTTTTATAAATGTTATTTTGAAAATTAAACTGGACGGAAACTAGGTCATAGGTGGACGACAACTGGGACATTCACGGTATATAGAAAAAGATGGAAAATTTGTAAAAAATGTAACAATAAAAGAAAATGTAGATTAAAAATTATATATTTTTTTGAATGAAATTTTATACGAAACTTCATATATTTCTCTAATTGTCTAAGCAGTAATGACCACCATAACTGACCCGTCGTATGCACAAGTAGTTTGATGAACATACTTGGGTCAATGGGTGGAAAAACCTCGATTTACACAAGTTAGGAAATCCGGAACATATGTTTTCCTTAATTAAACTCTATCAAAGTAATTCGTATTTTTTGGTTTAATTACTTTCTACTTTTAATTATTTTCGCAATATATATAAGTCCCTTTATTTTAGTTTCTCTAATTTTAATTTATTTTTAAAGTTTAATATTATCTTCATTAAAATATTTTATAATTAAATAAAATTTATATTAAATATAATTATAAATAAAAAAAATTTCTCAAAAAGAAGCGGAATTTATTTTCATAATTAAGTGGGTAAAAAAAGATTTATCTGAAACAGCGAAACATTTAATTAATAGTAGCAAAATGTTTACTTGCTTTAGTTAAATTTAATATTTCGCTATTCTAGTGAAACCTTTCGCTGTTTTAGGTAAATATTTTTTTCCTTGTAATTAAAACAATAATTACAAATTAAAAAAGATAGTTTCAATAAAATAAATTAATAAAATCTGAAATTTAAATGATTCTTAAAAATGGGATTTTTTTTTTAATTGAAAGAAATAACTATAAATAAAAAAAATATATATATATTGCAATGCCTTTGAAGTAAAGATTTGGGAAAAACAACTGATTGTGCGGCAATATCCTCATCCTGACTGAAACCAACAACTTATTCTCACTATAAAGCAGACGCAATACAACCTGATTATAATGTGAATAAAATATACTGTTGGAGGCTCCCTAACAAGAGATAGACTTGAACTTTTTGGACACGAATAATAAAACATAAATTTATAATACCTATTACATAGAAAATTTCAAATTTTATAAAATAATACAAAAATTTTTCAATTTTTTGATAATTCACTGCAAAAATTTATTTCAAAATTTGTATAAAAATTTAAAAAAATCTTCTACCTTGTAAATCAAATTTTTCTATTTTCTTCCACTTTAAAATAGATTGTAAAACATTTTTCTTTTCTTCTATTAAAATGGAACATTTTTTTTTTTATTTAAACGCAAGTGTGGTTTACCTTTTTTTTCGCTCAAGGAAAAAATAGACAATTAATTCAGTGAAAAGTGAACTTGTAATTTTTGATTTATTTTAACAAATTGTAATTGAAAATTTAAATTTAATTTGAAATATTATTAATTGTAAAAAGTATTATTTTTCTGTGAAATATTTTTCGAGGCAAAGAAATATATTTTGGTATCGAAAAAATATTTTTTGCTTTAGAAAAGTATATTTACTGATTGAATCAAACTTTTCTTTGGGAAAATGAAGAACAAAATACCCAACAAAAGAGGTTTTTTGTAACAAAAAAAAAAAAAAAAAACGAAACAATTAATAAAAAAAGAAGCTTACTTGGAGTAAATATTGCAAAGCAACTATTTTTAGAAAATAATTAAAAAAACAAGGACCAATTTTTTTTTTAAATAAATATAAGAGGAAAAAAAGAATCAGCTAAAAAATGACAACTATTTTTCTACTGCAAAAAAAATAATTTTTCCGGTTGTAACAAGGTGAAAATAAAATCAATAAAGATTATAAAGAGTTCTTGGTGAGAATGTCAAATAGTAAAGCCAATTTGTCGCACGTCCGGAAAACTCCTATTCTCAATATTATCGATCAAGCATCACTTTATCAAGATTCAGTGACGATGCAGGATTCGAAATCAAATTGATGCTACACGTGAAGAAATGCTGCATACAAAATATTAATATATATGTAGTGAAAAAAAATTTATTTGATTCAAATAATTGGTTACTTGACTATTATATCAAATAAATATTTAAAATAATTATTATTTGAGATAGTATTTGTTTGAAATACACAAATTATTTCAAATACAGTTTATTTAATTCAAATAAAAATTCAAATAAATTTGATTAATAATAAAGTAACCGATTTATTTGAATTAAATAAATTTTTCTTTCAATGTACATTGTTAAATCACACTACGTGAATATATTTCATATTAAAGGCAGAAAAAGAATAAAAAAAAAAAAAGATTCAAGGAAGAATATTATGCAACACGTTATACCAAGATATCTTACTTCCTTTTTTCACACTTATAACACGAAAACCAATTGTAGAAATCACCGAGTTATTTCGCGAATTCTCTCTTTTTCTCTCTCTTTCTCTCTCGTTGACAATGGCGACAAAATTTCACACGCTTCACGCGTAATATAATTATGAATTCCCATTTTACAAATCTCTAAGATGTGGAATGTTCTTCTGGATTTTTTTTTTTACATTTATTCTAACAATAAAAAAAAAATCAGCGATTTGTTTTTAGCTATCACATTTTTACAACAATTCTAATTAATTTCCTGTCTATGTTAACAAAACAATTGAGAAAAATTGCCAAGTTAAATTTCCAACATATTTCTTGAAAAGTCAACAAAATCTTGAAAACTCAATTTTTTTTTTATTGGAAATATGAGCCTCATGCTGAGCTATTCTTGAAATATGGGCCCATTGATTTCTTATCAATATTCTGCAGATTGCTAACCATTCATTTTTCATGCAGTCTTTTCGAATATGGTTCAAGTTCCATTTTATTTCCGTTTTGGCAATATCTTGATTCTCGTTTGCGCACAGCGTTTTTAAAATAATATTTTTCTCTTA